TTTTTCGTGTGTTTTTATGTCTTGAAAAGTGACAGGTTGGGGATGATAATAACCTGCGGTGTTGGGCATGCCATAGACAATTTTGCTGCTTGTGTGGAGATATGGTGATTGATAGCTCAGAGCATTTTGGTGATTATGGTTGCAAGCAGCATACATTTGAATAGATAAAAATCATGAGTTTTTGAACATTTGGTTCATAATTATTTATTTATTTGGGATTTTCTCCCTTTCATCACATATTATACACATTTATAAAACATGACTTTTGCAAGTTATTCTCTACAAAAGAAAATTGTAAAGAATTTTTTTTTTCCCTTCCTAAAATCATCTTTTCAATCACAACATGGAAAATATTGCAATCATAGAAAAGTTTTCAGTAGATTCACAAGAATGGGTCCATAACTATAATAGTTGACAAAAGTTTTAAGGGTTGATTGTTTATGAAATAATTTATTCAATTTGATTTCATACTCAAAATTTAATTCAATTTTAATTCAATTCTACCATCTTTAATATTATTTATATAATTAAATAATACGAACAATCATTCTTACACATCACATCAATTTTAATTCACTATTTATCCACTCACATAATTTTAATTACTTATCATTTTCAATCATTTATCTCTTACTTTTACATCAAATCAATTTTAATCATTTTATTTTAAATATTATATTAATTTAATTTTAAAATTCTACTAACCACTGTTTTGTGACCCGGACCGGCTCGGTGAGTCGACCCGGGACCCGGTCGACTCGGAGCCAGAACTAGTCCGTGTGGGGTATTTGGACCGGGCAACAAAGGACCCAATCAAACCCGGTCAAAACCCGGCCGACCTGGAGCATTGACTCGGCCGGGTCAACCCGGTTGACCAGGTCCTTATATATTTTTTTTAATTTTTTTTTTTTGTTTTTTAAAAGTAAAACTATGTGTATATGTTTATATGGTAAATATTTATCATGACATACATATTATTAACATTTTAATGTACAAATTTTATACACAAAATTAACTATGGTTAACTAAAATAAATTATTTTGAACAAATTATTTCATAAACAATTAAGACAGTAATAAAGAGAATAGATAATCAGTCATAAACCAAAAAAGAAAAAAAGGTGAAAAATGGATAACGTTTATGTAACATATATTACAAGATTAGATAACCACTAAAAAAATGAGAATAAGAATAATAATAGTAATAATGAATGAAAAAACAGATACTGTTTTAGGCATGTTACAAAGATTATATAATTAGTCCACTTGTTTGCAGTTTTATATGCTGTATATGTTTCATGTCATATATAATGACGTAGAAAATTTTACAAACAGGGATCCGTGGCGCAATGGTAGCGCGTCTGACTCCAGATCAGAAGGTTGCGTGTTCGATTCACGTCGGGTTCAAAACCCCGAACCTCATATCCCTTATATTTTTCTCCCTTGATTTTATTTTATTTTTGCAATTTTCCAAGTCAGATATATATTATCAAATCAGTCATTATCTTCTTCCCGTTGTCTCTTATCACACTTGTAGGCAATAGTANGAAAAAAAAAAAAAAAGGAAAAAGAAAAGAAAAATCTGACTATACTCAAATGCTCATTAACAAAGACAAAAGAATCCCCAAATGGCACATACAATTGAAGCGGAGCTTGCCGCCACCTGCGTTGTCGTCGACGGCATCCCCGGCATCATAAGAAACCCCCGTTTCTTTCTTCATTTTATTTTTCATTTTTTGATTATTTTAGTCAAAATCAATTTTTTACCCGATTGAGGAGGTAATTTGACAAAATTGTGTAATTAGGTGATGGTTTGTAAAAAAGATATATATTGACGTGCGAAAATCGTTATAGTTCGGATAACAAAATATTATTTTTCCCTTTTGTTTTAATTGTGTGTAAATATTTAGATGTTGACAATAACAATGGATCATGGTTAAAACTTAAAATACCAATTTGACAGAAAAATAACTTTGTGACCATTAGGTTTACCTAATAGTAGTCTGAAATATTGTGATATATTTGTCATGCTACACATAATATGAGTTTTCTCCTAATGAAAAATAGTACAAAAAAAATTGTTGAGAACGTTCACAAATATTAATGAAATTATCATCTCAATTACTAGAAGTAGAAGGTAAGATGAACTTCAAATATTTTATAAACTAAATATTAAATTTATAGAGATATTTAGATTTTTCATTGTTTAACACATTCATAAATTCAACGACTCAAATAAATATATAGTTGAAGTACGATGGTATAATTATTATAGTATTGCGAATCAAATTTGGGCATTCAAAAGTATGTGTTTATAGTCACTATATCTACATATAACATATTTTAGGGGTAACTTAAAAATCGAGTATGATTAAAATAATTATTCCGAAAATATTGATTTTACATATAATGAATTATGTGTAGTTTTGAAATTATAGAAGCACTATTTTGTATAGGAGTTTCAACATGCCTTATATCATATAAGCAATATATAAAGTTAATACATAAAATATTTATTTATTTTGAACCCTATATACATTTTAGATTTAATTAATTGAATCTAACCAAATTATATCTTGTGAGACTTGTCTTTTATAATTTTGTCCTACCTTGCCCTAATCCAATTTTTTGGTTCGTTGATTATATTATTTTTAAATTAATTATAATTACAAATTTTTCATTAAAAATATACTAAAACAAAGGCTTTTTAATTAGTGCAACTTTTTATAAAATTAACTTCTCCTATTAGATAGAATAGATGTAGACTCTCCTAACAGATGGAATAGATGTAGCCCAGGGACAAATTGCAGAAGCAATTTTCTGGCAAAATGTCAATAAAGATTGATACAGATAAAAAGCCGTTACCATCTTCATTAGAACATATACTAAAAAGAGGAGCAGACACTTCACACCAATACCAAACACATCAGAACTTACAAATGAAATGAGCACATATACTTAAAAGAGACAAGCAGCACACTTCACACCAATACCAAACACATTAGAATTTACAAATGAAATAAACAATCTCCCACATGATATATATAGATTTTTGTCATGCACTGTTTGATCCAACAAGTAACACACACACTTTCGGCATCATCTTTTATCCTTAACATCTGTTGGAAGTTCCTTGATCACGCAGCAAGTACTATAATCACTATCAGAAGAACTACGCCGAAGATCACAAGCAGTAAGCAAGTCTGCAGAAAGAAAGTAAAAATATGATAAATCCAAGTAAAATGGCAATATATTCATCATTAACTAAATGGTAAAAATAGAGGTCACATAATGGTATAACAGATTCATATTTAGGTTCATCTGCAACCATAATTATCACCCCTTTGAAACTTTAAGCAAAATTAATCAAAAACCATTAAACTAAGATACTGAACTACTCGACCAACAATAATAAAAGCCAAGATTGGCAATATATCCTAACATTGTCAGAGCTAAAGTTCAATCGGCTCCGAATTTGCATATAACCTGTACTGCATTTTGTTGGACATACGCTGATATACCTAATAACTCACCAGAGATGAATTTGACCGCTGGGTTTTAGCTGCTTTGACCAACTGGGATTTTCCCTGAGCAGTTGCAGCATGAGCGCCCTCAATATTGGAGCCAATGTCATCTATGAAGAGAAATCAGATCTCTGTGTTAAATTTCTTTAAATTGGTGCATTGAAACTTACTAAAGTGTAAATAATTTACCTATCATAGTTCCTTGCTCGTGAACAAGTACCGCAAGATCCTTGAAAATCTCATTCACTTCACCAATTTGTTGTTGTATCTCTTGTATTCCCTGCTCTCGTTCTTCTATAATGGCCTCATTGAAGGCAATCTCATTGTCCAATAGCAAAACCTCCTGTCTGTAAAGTAAGCACTTGAAAAATAAGCTGACAACTTTATGAAATTCCATATAAAACAAACTTCCAAGTTCCAGCAAATGAGCAAACTCGCTTACATGTCACTTCATCACAACAAGGTGTCATACATTAGAACCTAGGAGATTTATAGGACATGGAGTTCTTGTAATTATTACTATTATCAATATTATGGATTTTGTTTTTGCTGCTGCTAACATGTTATTGTAATTGCTATTGTCATTGTTGTTATTAACATCACAGCGCAAAGTTGCTGATGATAACCGTCTTATCATGCAATCCCTGAGTCACATTCATAAATTGTACAGTGACAAAGAAGAGATGAAAGATTTGTGCATAACCTTCAAAATTGTACCTTATACTTAAATAATGTAAAGCATATTTTAATTCACAGTTTTTATTTGTCACATTCAACAAAGTGATTGCTTTTGTAGACAAAGAAAATAACTATCAACACAAAGGCATTTTTTTTAAAGAAAATGGTAAACAATAGCGGAGAGAAAATTATATTGTTCTCTACTGGTGATTTGCATTACAGAGAAGGTATGAGACGGTAATACACAAGTTGATAGAAGTTATACAAGTAAGTAATACCATCAAATATAAAATATAAGGATCCATAAGTTAAGATAAATGGAACTTCACATCACATGCCTTCTAGATTCAACAAGAAGTGCGCGCTGTTCTGGAGTCTTATCTGAACTTGCATCTATTTCTTCAGCTGTGTAGCTGCAGTACATAATTACTTCAAGATGTAAGCTGAAGCCTAAGAAAAAGTATAAAGCTCATTTTTCACCCAATCCATAAATATCGCACTAAGAAAACTCCAAACAGACCCCAACATTTAATCTCAAAATTAGAGCATCTCAATCAATGTTACCTAGAGGGAAGTACTGCTTGAGGGGCAAAAGGAGTATACAATGTCTCCCTCTCAGCTGCGAGCCGTTGCGCCTTCTGGAACTCCTTTAGAACTGATTGAAAATCTTTTGCGAGTTTAGCATCCGTTATTTTCTTATTTGTCTGCACGCAGCAAGAATAGCACTTTTGGTCAAACAGCATAAGTTATACGGCTTGGTGAGAAGAATAAGCTGATTGAAAAGTGTAGTAGATTTAATTGCTTCATCTTGCTGATATAGTTGATTTATTTCCTCGTAATATTGATTTGGCAACATTTAATGAAATAAGTTAGTTTGTATATCCCTTTTCTTAAGGATTGATTAGTAATTTTTTAAGCATGGTCCTATATAAATGTGTTGTGCTGAGGTCTTTTGCTCGCACATTCGAAATAAAATACTCTCTCAAGTTAAGACATCCATTAAAAACTGAAGGCAGCAAAGTAGCACTCCAATTGCTTTTGTTTCAAGGGAACAAGAAACCTACCAATCAAACTCCGGCAGGAAGAAAAAATAAACAGGGGAAAAGGGACTGAACATGAAAGTGCCACATTATCATCTAAACAACCAAGCGAACTTACACTGACTTCAGCATGATGATCTGTTTCACTAGCTTGCTTAAGTTTAGCTGAGGTATCCTTCACCAACTGTCCTATATGTAGCCGAGTTTTATGCCTGCAGTTGAGCAAAACCAGCTTCAGAATCGCCAAAACATTTTCCATTAAACTAAACTATGAACAAAGTCGCGTTTAGTGATCCCATGAAATCTTAGGAGATCAATGACATCCTCAAAGAGCTTCGACAACTGATACTAGTGTCTTATACAAAAAATATTTCTTTGTTCTCTTATTTAGCACCATCAATGACTTCCACGTAGCAGTAAATGCACCACATGGTCATAGCAGGAAAGCACTAAAAGGTCCTGCAACTTTAAATTGCCATGAACTGATGAACAGTAAAGATAAACATTTGATGTTAAAAGCTGATGCAAACAGGTGTAGAATGTCAAAGACAAATATAAGCAATCAAACGCTGGGAAATTCAAAACTTTAGGTGGAATCAAATCAATAAAATTGAAGGACCAGTGGACCACAATGAAAACAAAGCGAAATTTCTCTCCCAGTTTTGATTGTTGCAGCAGAGCAGTAGTAGTTGGGCACTAGAGGTAACCCACCAAAGTTCCTCAAAGGCACCGGTCTTTTGGAGTAAAAAAAGGAAGGAAAATATTGGAGGCATGTTAAGCTGATGGCCAGGAAAGGCAATGTAAGTTACATAGGAGGGCAAAAACAGATCAGCACAAGCTAAAGAACCTTCTTTAGTCGCAACACTAAAGTTGGGTATGTAAAATCTTCAAGCATTGAAGCTCAACCAAGTGAAAAGCGTTGAGTTGGAATGAAAGCTGGTGGGATAAAGGAGACCTTAAGCTATATTTTATTTAGGATATAATCTCATTCGCACAAGTGAGGAGGGATAAGTACGCTATTGTTTTCCATCAATGGAAACATGTGATTAAAAAAAAATGATTAAAACACACCCAGATAAAGAAAAAGAAAAAAAAATAGATGAACTAAAGTATGTCTGCCCTGAAACAGCTCGAGCGAGGATCATAGTAATTTAAGCTAAATCATCAAGTTTTATTCACATAACACTAAGTTGACCCCAAGTTTTCAGCTCCTCCAACTATTGACATCAACTCATCAAATCATGCTGAATGCACACAGACACAGTTACTCTCTATCCGCTCCATACGGACCAATGGGTCCAAAAACCACACGTCAGTGACAAGCTCGCTCACTAAAGACAAATAATTCAAAATGACAACCACCAAAGATCAACAGAATTCTACTTCATAATCCAACAAAAAACATAGATTGGCTAAAAGCCCATGATAGTGGAAACTAACAGCTTTTCACGGAGCTCAGGCGTGTCCTTGGGCGTCCCGAGGGCGTTGACAAGGCGCTGGAAAGTAGAAACCGCCGTGGTGATCTGAAATATGCCGGAGGCCACCGCATGGGTCGGGTCCTGCTTTCCATTTACAAACCCCCTCCGGACTCCGGCTCCTCTACCCGCTTCAAGATCCTGAAAACTCATGAATTCTGTATGCTTTTTTATTCGTCAAAACCCTAAAACCGAACACCCCCGAAAAAGAGTGTTCTGCCTAACGAACCACCGATAGAAGAGAAAATCCAAACGAGATACGATATGCTATTTCGGCGGTGGCGGATTGGGGAACAACTACGGCAGAGAATTCGGGGAAATGAAGAAACTTGGCCGGGAAAATTGGAGATTGGTGGAGGAGAGGAAAAGAAAATAATTAGTTCAAAATGAAACAGAATAGTATATAATCAGACCCCAGCTGGATTAGTTCACGGCCAGCAGCTACAGTGGAGAACAGGTTTTTATTTCTTTTCATTTCTTCTTTTTTATTTTTTGGAAAAAGGACAAAAACCTTTGTAAATTTACAAATCAGACCATAAGCCAATATATATTTTTACAATAAATGTGCATACTTTCATTGTAAATATCATATTTTATAAAATAACTTAACAAAAATATTATATTTAATAGTATTTTTTTTTTCATAGTACAAGTATTTATATTTGTTCAAATAATATGACGAGTCGATCTCCAATATCTTTTACTATAAATGTACATACTTTCATTAGAAAATATCATGTAAAAGGTGTTATCACCTGGTAATGCATCCTTAATGCATTTCTCTGCTTTTTTTTTTTTTCTCTATGTAGAGCCTCACAAACACAGACACTATGTTACAATTTCATCAATTTTAGTACACTAATCCCGAGCGGTCGAATTACGTGATGACGTGGACAAGAATTGAAACGACGTGGATGGATGGAACTTTGACATGGAAGGATTAAAATTTTCCACGTCATCACGTAATTCGGCCCCTCGGGATTATTGTACTAAAATTATATGACTGTCGATCCGCCTAACGGTTAGGCTGTCTCACATAAGAATTTATTGTTCACAAATTCTTTTATTACATTAACAGGTCGATTAGCTATACTATTTGAATAATAATACATATTTATATTATGAAATGTTCATACTTCTATTTATATTATTTTTCATATTTCACAGCAATATATAACTCCTAACTCGGTTAAAAAAAATCGAGCATTATCGGTCCAAATTTGATATACATGTGCATATTTTTAAAAAAAATATATCGGCCTAATAGTTAGGTCGCCTACGCCTAGTACAAGTTACGTATGTGCCAAAAAGAATTATTATTAATAAATATGTGATGTATTTTGTAATGAATATACTATATGATAAATTTATCATTTATGCAGCCCTAGTGGGCTTGTCTACACTGCAAGGAATTTCATCTGTCATAAATTAGTGAAGTTTCAAACATCGTCCCAAATTGCAGATTCAATGCCAACGAAATATATCTTACACAATCATAATTCAATCGAAATCCATGAATATGGACACCCCATAAGAAGCTAATTTTGGACAGTGAACAAATACTGATACAGATAATCTGTTGATATCAATAAGATTTGAACGTGAACTGACGGCAACACTACACACCAATAATACCACACGAAACAAGAAAGACGATCGAATGGGCAGCTCCTAACCTTAGTATCCTATTACACAAACACGACACACTTTAAAGAGCTCAAGGCATGTGAAAACAACTCACTTAATAAATAAACAAATAAATAAATATAAAACTGATATATTAAGATAGAAATAATAGTAATAAAATCAAATAAATGATATACTTCTACATCCTTGCACCATCTTTCCGGGTTCTCAAAATCTTGGTGGAACTCGATCAGGCAGCAAGTACTATAATCACTATGAGAAGAACGATGCCGAATATCACTAGCAGTAGGCAAGTCTGCAGAAAGAGAGTAAAATATGAGAAATACAAACAAGTGACCTCATATTCCTCAATATACGGAAAGTTAAAGTTGAATTACAGGTCACAAATAGCATAATAAATGGATATTAATAAAAGAGAGAAAAGGCAAACAAGTAATCTGGGACCATTTGTGTACTTCTTTGATATCAAAAAATAAAACTATACGAAAACAATGGAACAAATTGAACAGCCAGCCTAGAATTGGTCAAAATGTAAGAGAAGGCACAAGTGAGGTATGTGAGCAAATGTGCAAGTACGATCTTTTTGTTTTTCATGCACAATAAATGAACCATGAAATGCAACTAGCCAAAAGATGAAAACCAATTAATTGAAAAAAATTATTAAAGAAAACAGGTGTGGTAGGGATAGGAGGCTAGGAGCATAATAAAATGCTAAGATACTGCACTAATCAATCAGCATTAATAGCTAAAGCAAACATGAGCATCATAACATTGTAGGCTAAAGTTCCATGGAAATATGCTTAATAGTTGCATATAATCTATATCCGGTTTTGTTGGGCATGGATAGAACATCATCTCTTATAACTCACCAGAGATGAATTTGACCGCTGGGTTTTAGCTGCTTTGACCAACTGGGATTTTCCTTGAGCAGTTGCAGCATGAGCACCCTCAATGTTGGAGCCAATGTCATCTATGAAGAGAAATCCAATCAGTGTTAATTTTTTTGAACAGTATAATTAACCAAACCATTTACTGCATTGCAAATCATTTACCTATCATAGTTCCTTGCTCGTGAACCAGTACAGCAAGATCCTTGAAAATCTCATTCACTTCACCAATTTGTTGTTGTATCTCTTGTATACCCTGCTCTCTTTCATCTATAATGGCCTCATTGAAGGCAATCTCATTGTCCAACAGCAAAACCTCCTGTCTGCAAAATAAACAATTAGAAACAAGCAAAGGAAAACTAATGAAATTTCTTAAACCCAACAAATGAGCACATCCCTAGTGCTTAAATCCACTAGATCATACAAGGTGTTGTATATTATAACAAAGAGACCCATATGGGGAACATAAAGGTAATTATTATTATTGTTGTTAATGTTGTTATTTGTTGTTATTTGTTGTTATTGACATGAAAGTATTATTGTTGTTGTTGTTGTTGTTATTGTTGTGTCAATTGCCGTTGTTGGCATGAAGGTACCATAGTGAAAACCATTATTATTCAAATTTTGAGGTATTATTATGGGAAGTCCACAACTTGAGGTCTCACTGATGATGGCTTTCCTAACATGCAATAATATTCACAAATTGGACAATGATAGAAAGAAGTGATACATGTACTGATTACCCTCACACCTATTAATATATATAAAGAGGCAATGATATTTACTTGAAATAGCAACTAAAAATCAGCAAAAAAACCTTTAATAGTTGCATGATTTAAATTTGGAATATAATATATTGACAAAACTTGCAGCTATTACCTTTATTAGTTGCATGGTTTAAATTTGGTATATAATATATTGAAAAAAAATAAAAAGATTTTTATTTAAATTTAAAAATAAAATATAATTATTCATAACTTACGGGTCAATATTAACTTGGACGTAAACAAAATAGTCAATTATTTATAGTTTAATAAATTACTCAACTACTTAAATTTTTTTTTTTTATTTGAATAGTTTATACAATAATAAATTACTTTAAGTAATGAAACAATATAAATTTTATATTTATACTTATTATACACATAGGTTGTTAAATATATGATAACATTTTACCAAAATAACTATTTTATGGAATCACATATAGTCAAATCGACTTTCTGAATAAAAATTTTGAAATGATACTTATTGTGAAACAAATATAATGTAATTTATTATCAGTTATGTGCACCGCACGAGTTGTGTACTAATTTTAAATATTTATTTTTATGTAATTTCGCATAATTTAAATTGTATATAACGTTTTCAATAAATTAATATAGGTAAACTGTATTACATATTGATTCCATATTTTTAATTTATAAATATTATTTAATAATAATTTTTAATTTATAAATATTAATGAATATGTATTACCCGTGCACTGCACGAGACTCATTCTAGTACAAAGTATACGGCAATAATAGTTAAGAAAAGAAAACTCTAAAATCATACACCAAACTTCAGAACAATAACATTTTTGAAACACATGTGCCAAGTGAAAAGATCGATGTCAAAAGTCCCATGTTCACATACCTTCTAGATTCAACAAGGAGAGCACGCTGTTCTGGAGTCTTATCTAAACTCACATCAATTTCAGAAGCAGTGTAGCTGCAGGAGAAAATAATTTCAAATAAGCTGCAGCCTAAAAAAACGAGCAAAGAATTTTTTAAATTTACTAACCATTTTACCATAGAGCATCTGCAA